TGTGTCTGTCAAATAAATAAATAAAATCTTTAAAAAAAAAAAAAAAAAGAAAAAGAAAAAAGACCTAGAATTAAGGCTTGAGAACTCCAGCTTCTAATGACTAAGTAAAAGATTCTAAATTGGCAAAGGAGAAAGAAAAATGTATCTAGAGAGACGGGAGAAAAACCAATAAGACATTATGTCACAGAGTGAAAAGAAAAGGAATGACTCAGCAAAATGGTAATGGTTAATCATAGTATCAAATGAATAAAATAAGAGTTTTTTTCTCTTAACCCAAACTTTAGATCATAATCACTATGGCTCCACTGTGAATTCTTACTTTTTCAATTACTCATGTTTATATACACTTACTTAAAGTATTCATCAGAAGGCCACTATTGTCATGAAGTCTATTCTGGTCAGCATCCATATCAGAAATCCTGCCATGTGGCATGGCAGACATGGCAGGATGTCCTGAGATATAATTCCCTGGCTCAGAAGGAGAGGATGTGCACTGTTCATCATCTGAGTCACTGGAACTATCCTCACTACTTGAAGATGATGAATTTTTGGAATCCGATGAACTATCACAACTACTCATTTGGTCCATTAGACTAGCTTCTGCCTTCAGTTCTGAAAATAAAACAGAAATTAATAGATAGGTTAAATAAATAATATTAAACATAAATATTAAATAAGTAACATAAAATTTGAATGTGTTAGCTTCTAAGAAACCGTTGATGAGGAATAAATGAGATTAAACAAACATTTACAGCATTTTAAGCATTTTATTTAAAAAGCTCCTCTACCATTAAAAAACACAGGCATTTCACTCAGCGAAAGAAGTCAAGCAGAGAGTCAATTATCATATGTTCTAACTCACTTGTGGAGTATAAGGAATAACACAGAGGATACTGGGAGATGGAGAGGAGAAGAGAGTTGGGGGAAATTGGAGAGACAGACAATCCATGAGAGACTGTGGACTCTGAGAAACAAACTGAGGGTTTTGGAGGGGGAAAGGGTGGGGGGTGGGGTAAGCCTGGTGGTGGGTATTATGGAGGGCACGTATCACATGGAGCACTGGGTGGGGTGCATAAACAATGAATTTTAGAACACTGAAAAAAAATTAAATTAAAAAAAAAGACATAGACAATGCCAAATCTAAATGCTACACTTATACCATTATACTTAATTAAATATATTTGTAATTTAAGTAAAGAATGTGAAAAATTAAAACTGTAAAAATTAAAATCTATTTTGGCAGAAACTACCCTCCAAATCCTCTTATTCTCCCAATATGTATAAGGAAACAGTACATACAGATGGATTTCTTTTTTTTTTTTCCTAGCTGTTCTGACCTATAGTTGACAAAACCGTATATTTAAAGTGTACGACAGGCTCCCCAGCCCCAGTGTAAAAAGGAGTTTGGCCTGAGAAAATACTTTGCCTTGAACCAAGAATCTGGACATTCAGTGTGAGCAGTTGGGTGATGCTGAGTGGAGAGAGCTCCTGCCTCTGATCCAACAGTTCAAGGTGGTCAGGCTGGATGACAGGGGTCTCACAGAGCTGTGTTGCAAGGATATCATCTGTGCTCTCTGGGCCAATCCCTCCCTGAATGAGCTTAGGCTGTGCACCAAAAGAGCTGGGTGATGCTGGTATGCACCTCGTGCTCCACGGCCTGTAGAGCCCCACCTGCAAGATGCAGAATTGCTGCCTGATGGAGGCTGGCTGTGGGGTCCTGTCCTGTGTGCAGCACTTGGTGCCCATCCTTCACCAACTGCACTTCACTGATAATTTGTTGGCGGATGCAGGCCTGCAGCAATTCCGCAAAGGTCTCTTGGACTCCCAGTGTTGCTGTGAGATCCTTCAGCTAGAGTACTGCAACCTGATAGCTGCTAGTTTTGAGCCCCTAGCTGTGGTGTTCAAAGGCCAAGCAGCATTCCAAGTTCATGGTGAGCAATGATGACATCTGCGAGGCTGGCGTCTGAACGCTATACAACGGCCCGGTGGACTCTACCTGCCACCAGTTTGAGATGCTCTAGCTGGAGAACTGTGGCCTCATATGGGTCAATGGGAAGAACCTGTGTGGTATTGTAACCTCCAAGAACTCACTGCAGGCGCTGGACCTGGGTGACAAGCTGGGTGACCTGGGCATTGCCGAGCTATGCCCCAGAATGCTACACCACAGATCCTGACTCAGGGCCCTGTGGCTCTGGGACTGTGACCTCACCACCAGGGGCTGTAGAGAGAGACCTGTGCCATGTCCTTAGGGCCAAGGAGAGCCTGAAGAGTTGAGCCTGGTGGACAAAGTCCTGCAGCTTACAGCCACCTGCTGCCACCACTTCAGCACGACATTGACCCAAAACAGTTCTGGTGATGCTGCCAATGAGCAACAACAAGCTGGGGGATTCTGGAGTTCAGGAACTCTACAATGGTCTGGGCCATCTCAGCACCACACTGTGAATGCCCTGGCTCAGGGAATGCGACAGGATAGACAGTGGCTGTCAAAGCCTGGCCTTGCTCCTGCTGGCCATCCACAGCCTGCACAAGCAGCACTTCAAGCAATAATGACATGCTCTGGAATAATACGACATCTACTGGATGGAGACGGGATTGCCTGTAGGTCCGAGAAGGGCTCAAGCTGAGCCTGAGGGCCATCTCCTGAGTAGCCTCCAGCCCCAGCTTCTGAAACCTGCTCTTCTGACATGCCCTACCTGGGACCCCGAAGGGGACTGGCTGCTCCTAGGGGCTTTTACTCTGGTGTCCTAGCTTTGACTGAAGAAAAACACTAAAATCAACTGATTTCTGTGAGAAAATTTTAGACATAATTATTAAAGCACTTTTTTTGGCAAGAGGAAAAAAACCAAATGTACAACTTAATGCTTTGATATACATTATTCATCACCTCATAGTTTCCATTTGTGTGTGTGTGTGTGTGTGTGTGTGTGTGTGAGAGAGAGAGAGAGAGAGAGAGAGAGAGTGTGATGGGAACACGTAAGATCTGCTCTCTTAGAAAATTTAGAAACCATACTACTTGGCGTAAAAATAGACACATAGATCAATAGAACAGAATAGAAAACCCAGAAAAGAATTCACAACTTTGACAAGGCAGGAGAGAATATCCAGTGGGAAAAAGTCTCTTCAACAAATAGCATTGGGGAAATTGGGCAGCAACATGCAAAAGGATGAAACTGGACCACTCTCTTACACCATACACAAAAATAAATGTAAAATGGATTAAAGACCTAACTGTGAGACATGAAACCATTAAAATCCAAGAGGAAAACACAGGTAGTAACCTCTTTGACATCAGCCACAGTAACTGAGTAACTGCTTACTAGATATGTCTCATGAGGCAAGGAAACAAAAGCAAAAATAAACTATTAACAATCTGAAGGGTTTGAAGAGGTGGGGGGGTGGGAGGTTGGGGGAACCAGGTGGTGGGTATTAGAGAGGGCACAGATTGCACGGAGCACTGGGCGTGGTACAAAAACAATGAATACTGTTATGCTGAAAATAAATTAAAAAAAAAAAATGAAAAAAAAAATTGAAAACAGAGCTACCCTATGACCCAGCAATTGCACTACTGGGTATTTACCCTAAAGACACAAATGTAGTGATCCGAAGGGGCACGTGCACCCGAATGTTTATAGCAGCACTGTCCACAATAGCCAAACAATGGAAAGAACCTAGATGTCCATCAACAGATGAATGGATAAAGAAGAGGTGGTATATATATATATATGTATGTATGTATGTATGTATGTATGTATATATATATATATATATATATAAAATGGAATACTATGCATTCATCAAAAGAAATGAAACCTTGCCATTTGCAATGATGTGGATGGTTTTAGAGGGTTTTACACTGAGTGAAATAAGTCAATCAGAGAAAGACAATTATCTTATGATCTCCCTGATATGAGGAATTTGAGAGGCAGGTGGGGAAGGGGGTTGGGGTTAGGGAAGGAAAAAGTGAAACAAGATGGGATCCGGAGGGAGACAAACCATAAGAGACTCTTAATCTCACAAAACAAACTGAGGGTTACTGGGGGGAGGGGGCGTATGGAGACAGTGGTTGGGTTATGGACATTGGGGAGGGTATGAGCTATGGTGAGTGCTGTGAAGTGTGTAAACCTGGTGATTCACAGACCCGTACCCCTGGGGCAAATGGTACATTATATGTTCATAAAAATAATTAATAAAATAAAATAAAATCTCTTCCCCCCCCAAAAAAATAAATAAAATAAACTATTAGGACTTCATTAAAATAAAGAGCTTCCGTACAGCAAAGAAAACAACAAAACTAAAAGGCAACCTTCAGAATGGGAGAAGATATTTGCAAATGACATATCTGACAAGGGGTAGGTATAAAAAATATATAAAAAACTTATCAAACTTGACACCAAAAAACACAAATAATCTGATTAAATAATGGGCAGAAGACATGAATAGACATTTTTCCAATGAAGACAGATGGCTAATAGTCACATGTTATGGCAACAGCCCAAATGTCCATGGGCTGATGAATGGATAAAGAAGATGTGGGATTTGTATATATATACATTATATATATAAACTTTATATATAAATATATATTTTATATATACACACATAAATCCTCCAATGGAATATTACTCAGCCATAAAAAAGAATGAAATCTTGTCATTTGTAACAACGTGGATAGAGCTAGAGAGAATTATGCTAAGTGAAATAAGTCAGTCAGAGAGACAAATACCATAGGATTTCACTCATGTGGAATTTAAGAAACAAATAAATGAACATGGGGAAAAAAAGAGAGGCAAACCAAGAAACATACACTTAACTGTACAAAACAAACTGAGTGTTGCTGGATGGGAGACTGGGGGGGATGGGGTAAATAGGTGATGGGGATTAAGGAATGCGCATGTTGTGATGAACAATGGGTGGTGTATGTGAGTGTTGAATCACTAAATTGTATATCTGAAACTAATATTACACTGTTAACTAACTAGAATTTAAATAAAATCTTTAAAAAATTTAGAGGTGGTGGGTATTAAGGAGGGCGCATATTGTATAGAGCACTGGGTGTTATACACAAACAATGAATAATGAAACACTACATCAAAAACTAATGATGTATGTGGAAAATGGGGAACCCTCCTACACTGCTGGTGGGAATTCAAGCTGGTGCAACCACTCTGGAAAACAGCATGGAGGTTCCTCAAAATGTTGAAAATAGAGCTACCCTACGACCCAGCAATTGCATACTGGGTATTTACCCTAAAGATACAAATGTAGTGATCCAAAGGGGCACGTGCACCTGAATGTTTATAGCAGCAATGTCCACAATAGCCAAACTATGGGAAGAACCTAGATGTCCATCAACAGGAGAATGGATAAAGAAGAGATGGTATATATACACAATGGAATACTATGCAGCCATCAAAAGAAATGAAATCTTGCCTTTTGCAACCACGTGGATGGAACTAGAGTGTATTATGCTTAGCGAAATAAGCCAATCAGAGAAAGACAATTATCATACGATCTCCCTGATATGAGGATGTGGAGAGGCAATGTGGAGGATTTGGGGGGTAGGAAAAGAATAAATGAAACAAGATGGGATCCGGAGGGAGACAAACCATAAGAGACTCTTAATCTCTCAAAACAAACTGAGGGTTGCCTGGGGGAGGGGGTAGGGAGAGGGTGTTGGGTTATGGACATTGGGGAAGGTACTTGCTATGGTGAGTGCTGTGAAGTGTGTAAACCTGGCGATTCACAGACTAGTACCCTGGGGCTAATAATACATTATATGTTAATTTTAAAAATTAAAAGAAAAAAAG